GGTTTTGATCTCCGATGGGCAAGCTTCTTTTGCTATGTTTAACTATGGAGAGATCAACTGGAGCACAGGCACGGCTAGTGGAGGAGACCCTCTTACGGGCCTGGGAGGAACCACAGCACAGGTAATCTCAGAAATCTCACCTTGTGATATAACTGTTGTATATATGTGATATAACTCTTTATCATTCTCTGCTATGATTACCCTCTCTAGGCAGGTTTTAATGGTGGAGATGTCAGCCATTTCTTGAACCTTCCCGGATCACGATCGAACGAAGTGGTCAACATTGAACAGACCACTAATGTTAACGTGCCTGGACGGTGGTTCTTCCGCATTGATGCCGACCAGATAGACCCAGCAAATGGCTGCAGCTACAATGGTACAAAAAAACTATATAATTATATAATGTTTTCATGGTATTTGATACATTAAATTAATATTTTACTTATATCTTAAATGTGTGCTCCTTGTTTTTTATGTACACCATGTACACTTTTTACTCAACATGTTCCCCTCATGCCTTATCTTACTCTCTCTTCTTTTTCGGTGTCTCTGCAATCTTTTTTTTCAGGGCGGTTTTACCGCCGTGGGGAGGTTTTTTGGTTATCAGACCAATGCACTCAGCGATGTAGATGTCTTGATCTGAATAATGAGGTCATCTGCCAAGAAACTCCATGTGGTCAGTTAGAGACCTGTGAACAGGTGGAGGGGGCTTACTACTGCCAGCCTACCCGTACCAGCACCTGTGTGGTGTTTGGAGACCCCCACTACCACACTTTTGATGGATTTCTATATCATTTCCAGGTACAGTATGGGGTTAAAAATCCCATTTCCATAAAACTGGTCAGTAATAGTTAGGGAATGTTTTTAGGGGAGCACTTTTGGCAGTCCTGGCTCACTCTATGCCAGAGGAAATGAAAAAAAATCCTGACTAACTCCAATAATAATGTGTGAACGGGTGACTTTTTCCTCCCCTGAAAGTTGCATTCAAAGTGCACTTGGCTCACTGAATGTGCATGATGCTTCTGGAAATAGTAAAGTCTGAAATTTCCAAAGAAACATAAAAAATGTAAGGATCATCATATTACACGCATTCAGTTCATAAGATATCCATTATCAGAGATTATGCCAGAAGCAAGTTTATCCTATAACAAAGCTGAGTATCATGCTGATCACTTTGTTTTTATTTTTTGCTTTGCTCTGTATAGAACTGTAGGCTAAAAGTATGTGATTTCCTTGATCTCCCATCCAGGGTACTTGCTCATACCTGTTGGCTCGTCCATGCTGGGAAATGCCTGGTTTGCCCTTCTTCAGTGTGGAGGCCAAGAATGAGAACCGTGGTGTGACCACTGTGTCCTGGCTACGGGATGTCACAGTAGAGGTGTACAACCACCGTGTCACACTACCCAAAGGGACTCTGGGAACTGTGCAGGTCAGCTTTCGTCAAGTTTCAGTCCTTTAAATATGAAGCTGTTACTCCTACTAAATTGATCAACTGTGCAATCAGTATGAATAGCAGCCTAGTAGATTAAATTGTTCTTGCAGGACACAGGCAATATAACCTTTCTCAATGTCTTTCACTTTGTGTTTCTGTTGTTACAGGTGGATGGCCTGATAAAGACTCTCCCTGTTCAACTTCAACTAGGCGCAGTCAAGGTATACCAATCTGGCGTTGCTGTCGCTTTGGAAACAGACTTTGGTCTTTTGGTGACCTATGACGGATTGCACTACGCCTCCATCTCCCTCCCCAGCTCTTATTTCAACAACACTTGTGGTCTGTGTGGTAACTACAACGATGACCCCGCCGATGATCCCGTGTTGCCAGATGGCTCTTTGGCAGAGAGCGTAGTGGAACTGGGTGGTAGCTGGCGAGCTGAGGACACAGATTTTCGTTGTACAGATGGCTGTGCCCAGAACTGTAGCATGTGTGAACCGGCAGCCGAAGTGTTCTACTTTCGCTCAGACTACTGCGGGCTGATCAATAAGACTGATGGGCCTTTCAGAGACTGCAGAGCT